GTTACAAAAAAGACTGAGGGCCGATGTTCTTCCAGTATAGTCCCGAGCAAGCTTGGTTAATAAGAGATTTATTATATGACTGAAGTTCAAGTGCAGTATCATTCAGGACCATTCTGGACAGTGCCCGGTCCAATACTGAGAGAATATTGACTGGCAATAGAGCATTTTGATTGGTTGATTTAAGTTATTGGCGCTCTGACTTCCCAATCCGTGTAATAAAACAAGGTTATTTAATCGGTTAGCAAAAACTTCATATCTCTCTTTTGAAAAGTGTTGGGCCAAACTAAGTAACATCTCTGCTCTTCCGAATTGTATGTCTTACTACAGGAGCTGCATTTTTCACTGTCTGACTGTGTAGCATTGACAAAATGCAACAAAGCCATTTTTGAAATTTAGCTCCCCTGCTACAATCACCTCTCACAATACTCAACCAATCAGTGTGTGCTTACCTCTCTAATCACTAAGAACAATTATACTAGCTACAATTAGTAATATTAATTGCTCAAGTGATTATAGAGATGGGCTCCCTCTGATTGGTTGAGGATTGCATCATATCTCCCCATACTCACCGCACACAAGGTGATTATAACAGGTGAGCATAATTTAAAAATGGCTACCTCGCATATTGTCAGTATATATGCCAACTCTCCCAGATACAGAGCCAATCTACCACTCTCCCATATGGGTGACCAAAATTCCTAGATAAAAAGAAATTTTTGATTAGTTGCCCACAAAAAACTAAGATTTAAACTCGTCATGATCCAAAATTCTAAAATCATCTGGCTTCTTATGCTTGTATTACAGTTTCCAGCTTCATTTTCTTAGTTTTTTGATTCACGTCGTTCATTTGTTACTCCTATATTAGCGAGAGTCTGATTGAATGAGTATTCAACAAATTGAAGTCCCTCACAGATTGATCCATGTTTTCCCTGCAAAATTGCTTGGCATGCTCACTGATACTCGAAGGTCCACATAATGGCTTATTTACACCGTGCATATCTCAAGGCGATGGGGGGCAGAAGGTCCAAATCAAAAATGAAATTTTGGGGGGGTTGCATTGGCAAATTCAGTCAGGGGGCCGGGAGGATGCTGGTCTGAAAAAAATCTCCAGATCTGAGATCTCCAGTAGTTGGCATCTCTGTGCAAGTGTTATCAAGGAAGTGATGAATGTGATATGGCAAATTCAATTCTAAAAGAGCACAAAAGATGCTATTAAGTTTGGAGTAACTTTTCAAAAGAAAGATATTAAGTTTTTGCTGACTGAACTAAATAAACCTATCAAATTCGAGTGAAAAAGGGCTTTTTATCTCAATACAAGTATAATCAAAACAATTGAAACATAATCATGGTTTCAACATTAAAACGAATATTTACAACAGAATTTGAAAACACCAAAGCTAATGTATTTACTAAAACAATTATTCTACACAGCTGCTGTGACTGGAAGCTAGCCATGATGCAAAACCCTGCATGTAAGCGGCAAGGATGGCTTGATATGCTAACTTGCATATCTTCAAGCAACTATATAGGCAGAATTAGAAGGACTGTAGTAGGCAACTGATGGCCTCACACTGGCTTTATTCACCCTAGAGAAAATCTACATCTTCCAACAATGCAACCTATACATGTGATGCAAGGAAGGTAGAAAGGGGCGTTAAATGAAGGTGATGCAGTTAAATTAACACTCCCTGCTCGATAAGAACTGAGCTCTTTCTTCAGCCTGGAGAAGTGAGGGGTCCCAGCAAAATTATCGCTAATCTACACAAAAAAAAACCTTACCAGAAACACTTGCCTGTGTGACGCGCTGAACAATGGCTCTCATTAGGAAGAATTCTGGATGAAAACTCTAAGTTATCGCAAAAGATATCGGCCGGAAGTGTTACAGAATTTCCTCCATCGAGTCCAATTCAGTACAGACACCTCACAAAAGCATGCGTAGCACCTGCTCTATCCAGGCTACTGCTCGGCCATAAGAAAGTCGTAATTAAAAATAATTTCAAAAGCTGAGTGTCGTCGAGTGTCGTCGAGTTATGGCTTTTGGCTTGTTCGTGGGAGCGATAGCTCTTTGGTATCATGTCTCTGCTTTCTGTTTTCTCCTGAGCTATTTTGTATCGCAATTGTGATCAAGGTGTACCAAACGGCAAATTCGGGGTTGCGACGGCATTTGTTGATTTCCTTCCGCGCATTGACTGGACTATGATACGATTCTCAACAAAGTTCTGGCGATTTTTACGGTTGCTTCAATGCGGTGCGCAGCGGTTAAAACTTCTTCCTTGGAAACAGCGATCAAGTTCGTTGCAGGTAAAACAAACCTTACAACGAGAGCATCGAAGCAATGCTTGAATTCTGGCCCTAGAGACTTCCTCTCGTAGAAAAGCATCTCTCTGAAAGAAATTACATCTCAACAAAAGGTCTTCCTTTTGTAAACATTAGCGGGCTTCAATGGGAAATGTGCTTCTTTAACCGAAACTTTAAAGAAAATAGCTAGATGAATGGCGATTAATTCTGCGGCTCCATAGTTGTTCAAGAAATTCAGTGGATTATCTTTCAGCTGTTTGAGAAGTATTTTGGGTTTGAAACATCAGAAAATGATTGCTTGGATGAATTCGTGCCAACTATCGCTGTAACAGGTGATTTGGATGGGCTTCAAACAGAATGAGCGACGTTATCTGAGGGCAGAAAATATCGCAAAACCTTTCTCCTTTTTGTCGAAAATTTGCGTTAATTAAGAGAAACATACTGAGTTGTGGCAAAAGAACTTGGTTCGGTGGCTTTGATCTTTGAGTCGTTTGCTCTTGGTATTTTAGATATTTTAACTTTATTTTTCGTTTGTGTAAGCGTATTCAGTTCGAACACTCCATCGACATCTGTGGTTGGGTTGGAAAGGCCATTTAAATTAATGCGCGACGCAATAAAATTCGAACAAATGATCGACGTAAGCGTGTGATAAATATTACTAGATACGACACGCGATTACAAAACTGTGTGATATCTGTATAATTTTATTCACAGTTTGAAAGCCTCTTAGAGTTCTTTACAGAACGACAGCGATTGTCACTCCTTTTGATCTTGCAAGGCAAACATTTTTGATTTTGTACACAGCCGAAAACTTCACCAAAGTACCGTTGTTAATACCTCTGTCAAATTTTACAACAAGATGATAGATTTTCAGGCATTGGACAGATGTTGAGTATTGTGAAATAGGCGCTTTTTTAATCAGAGGCAGAAATGGAAAAGACGACAAACTGTCGCATGTGTTTGTACATGTAAGAATAAACATTAGCGTGAGGTAGAAATTATTTCCTGTGCTTTGTATTCGTTACAGCGGAAGGGTTCTCAATGTGACTATTGCATGGTCGTAAATGTTCGTGTGGTAACATATTTGAATCGATTTAATGCAATTTGCAATTCCATTGCGAGGAAAAGTTGACTTCTCGCAATTCAACAGATCATTTCAAAGTCGTTACCAGTATCTGAAGTTTTGGATTCAGTTTCCTTTTATTTAATGATTGTTGTCATTGCCGCTAGTCTACTGTTGGAGTTTTCAACTTTTTTTTTATTATCTGCTTGAAGGTGTAAAAGTGGGCGTTGAGATCTCTGACAGATAACATTTTATGTTTGTATGCGAGTCCTGCCGTGAATAATTCGTCAGTACGGGAGTGAACGCAAGAGACCATTTGTGTTCACAGCGATGATTTTCAACTCTAGTCGTATGATCCTATACGACAAAGTTAGGAGTTATTCTTGAAAAAAATTGTCTTTTAAGAGCCAAAACTACCGGGATTTGGCCAGAAAAGCTTAGCCTGGAGATCTCGTCCCTGAATATGTTTGTTACTACCTTGTGCAACCAGCTTTCCTTTCGATTATCTAATGAAAAAGAAAATGAATGGAGATCACAAGACCTGTTTCTCTTTCTATAATTGGTTTCTTTGGAAATGGGAGCAAAAAGGATCTTCAAGGCTGTTATGTTTTTTGAAAGCATGCAATAGATCACTTCTGTTGGGAATTGCCTCCAAGATTGAACTACTAACACACTCACAAGAAATCCCGTTTTTTTCTCCTTTATTAATTAATCACCAATAACCTACAACAACCTCTTCTCGCTCTCCTTTCTTTTCCTTTTCTGTCAATCATTGGTTTTTGGGGTTGCTCCAAAGTTCAAGACTATCAGATTTCCACGCGTTGTCTGTCCACTTCCTCAAATTACATTGATTACGATCAAAACAAAGCCGAAATTACACTAACTACAATGCAACAAATAATAATATTTCGCACGATTTCCGACACTTCGTCGATAGAGTTCAAGTTAAAATCTTTATTAAAAACTGGATCATTGGATGATGCAATTAGACTTTTTTATTGGCTTAGACATTATGGTATATCAGCCAATATACCATAATCTATAATCTGTACATCGTAACGTCCGGACTCGTCTTACGAAATAAAGTCGAGAAGATTTGTCTAATATCTTGGGGGCGTCTTTTTTTTTTTTTAATAAAACAATTATTCCACTCGCGCTTGTTGGATCTGAGATAATTATAGCCAACGAGGCGCGTAGCGCCTCGTTGGCTATCTATCATCTCATATCCAACGCGCGCTCGTGGAATAATTGTTAAATATATAATACAAGACACAATATTTGGGTAACTTGTCATATGCACGAGCAGTTATTAAAATTAATATCCAGGCATCTGACTTCTTTTAGAAAACTTGTTTTGTAGAAGTCATTGTCAGAACATTAAAAGGAGATTAAAAAAAAAATGCTCCATTTGAATGCTGCAGAAATTTATTATCATCTAAGCCCACTCCGTTTAAGAATAGTTGAGGTAGTTATTATCATCCTGATTATATGTCACTGTCTAAATAAATAAATTACATTACAATCTCCCTAGTCGATATTCAGCCCGAATCGACCTGATTGCGATAAGACTGAAATGGTCGGAGTCATCCCAACGGCTAGCCGATATTCAGATCAAGAGTTAAAAGAGAAGCCCCAATCAGAATTGTGCCGCCCTACAAATATCAGAAATCTGCGAACATAGTGCGTAGTCGGCCTGCTGACCTCAGTCGGAAGATCAATGCAGATATTATTAGCCCGGCTTACGCAAGTAGAAAGATAAAGGATGAAATTAAGGTCAGGGAAGACGAGCCGCCTCTTGTGAGTCAACAATACGTGGTGTATTCATTTCAGTGTGGCCTGTGCCATGCTGGCTATGTCAGCTACACGTGCCGACACTTTCACCAACGAATTGAGGAACACATGGGATCGGCAATCGGAAACCACTTCACACAGCAGCATGATATGGAGCCAGATCACATCGCACAGAGCTTTAGGATCTCAAGAAAGTGTCAGAACAAATTTGACTGTCTTATTTTTGAAATGTTTCTTCATCAAAGAACTCAAACCAACACTAAACAAACAGCGCGATTAAATTCGCGCCAAATTATTTGTACAGAGTAGTTCTTGTTCTCATTATTCCATTGTTATTACCTCATAAATATTCTTAGCGTTCGCCACATTTTTACCCATTTCACCTTTTTCCACATTTTTACGCTAACTTAGAAAACTTTTACTCGCTTGAAAATGACCTCAGAGATGTCGAAACATCGGGCTTTCTTATCGCTAATTTTTATTTCGAAATGATAAAGAAGCCTTTAATTTCGAAAACGTTTTTTTATTATAACCACAGCATTATTTTTTATAAGGCTCTACATTTTTGGATTTTTGATTTTGTTTTTCTTTTCTGTATGGAATTGAGAAAACGGAGGCTTTGGAATTGTGCAACGGCAGTTTGCCAAAGCTGTGTTTTGCTTGATCATGCGGGTCACTATGGCGCGCCTTTCCAGTCAATATTCAAACAACCTTAATATACAATACATCCATTACAGTTCTTTGTCATATTTTTTATTTCCTTTCTGTATACTTTTTATTTTGCTTCTTTATTTCCCATTTTCTTTCTATATACTTGAAAATCTCTTCGTATCAATTCACATATACGTGTTTAGCTCATCTATTTTCTATTTTTTTCTGTTCTATATTTTTTATATTTATTCCATATGTTTTTATTCGTTCCGAGTGGGATTTTTTATTTTCTTTCTAGTTAGTATGCAAACGTCACCACATGACCGCTAGCACTATTGTTTTTTCCATTCCGCCATTTTGGCTTTCGGCTACATGGAGGAAGAGCTATCGACTGCTTGTCGGGCGGCCGCGGATGCTTTAGAGATTTTAAGTAATTTGAGACGTGGGTTTACGAGAAATGTAATACCTCGGATGAATTCTACGGCAGTCTCTGTGAGTCAGCCGAACAACGGAGATCGTAAAGTAAACAACGAGGAACTTCAGTCAAACGAACGTGCCATTCAGTCCTCGACGTCGCCAGACTCTAACAGTTCTATCCAAGCTCGGCTTGCCACTCTCTTTCCGACAATTGGTTCGAACCAAGCTAGTGGGAAAAGCACTAGCAGAAGACTAGCAAGGTCAAAGCAGACCATTAAGGCGACCAAAGGCCACCCATCCAAGACACTTGTTTACAAGGATCTAGTGCTTATTCCCAGTCCCAAGATCAACAAAGTACCTACACACACAACCTGACTTCACTTAGAAGAGAGAGAACTTGTCTGCCACGAGTTTCCCTTTGACAAGAGCTGGGACGCACATTCCCTCAAAGCTGCTATATTGAATCGATTTCCAAAGCTTTTGCCATTTGAGTATGTCAAGGTGGGTAACTTTGTATAGTGATATAAGTAAGCTTAAGCATTGTTCTACGTTTAATGCATTCATGATAATATCATTGCTGTTCCGTTTATACATTTGGTGTGGCTGCACTATTCTTAAATACGCATCTATACTATTTTGCCAAAAATTTAACCACATAAGAGGATACCTGCAGTGACGCGAGTAATGGACTTTTTTTTTTGCTGAATTTGTTGGGTTA